AAAATAAATAAATAAACTTTCTAAATATTTTTATAAACAAAAAACAGATTAGCTACATCATTAACGAACAGTGACATCATTGACACAATTTTAGGTCCTATTTGGCATAGCTCAATTTCACTAGTAAAGTTGTTTTTTAAATAAATTTCATGAGCAACTTTGTAGGTGAAACTAAACTATTTTAGAAAAACTATTTGGCAAAACAATTTCACCAATAGCTTCATGCATGGATGAGAGAGAAATGAGGGAGAGGACTAGGATAAGCTACTTTTTTCAACTTCATCCCAGCTCATGTCTTTGTGAGAGAAGAAAAACAGCTTCACCCATAAAACTGTTTCGGAAATAAGTGTTTAGCCAAAAAAAAACAGCTCACAAAAGCCCACGAAGCTATTGTGAGCTGTGCCTAACATGCCCTTAAAACAAGTAAGCTCATTTTAATAAAAGAAAACACTGATGAGCCAATATCTGTAATTTAGGTAGCCGAGAGGGGGTAGAAAAGGAAGTCATCCAAGACTCATAAAATAGTCGGCCGATTTTCAGAAAGGTTAGGGGCTAGATTCCAAATGGGACATGGCCGGCTGTTGACTATTCCATGCACTCAGTCCATGGCTCGTGGACCAGCGAAGGCCTGAGCCTATGGTCAACCGTGGACCGGGACCACAGCTAAGAGGTATGAGGGGATCTAATCCTGGCACTTAATCCTCAGATCGACAGCCTACGGAGCACCACCGGCTTATGGTCACAGGCGACCATAGGGACGCGGCAGCGCCATGGCAACTATGGCGGAGGTTCGCCGGTGAGGGCTCTGCCTCGAGCTAGGGAGCATGACGGACGCCGGGAACCAGCGCAAAACGGAGGAGAAACTCACCGCGAATTCAAAAAGGGGCTTCACGGCGACCAGCTCGTAACGGAGACGGAGGGAGACGAGGAGAGGCAGATGGCGGTGGTAGGGAGCTCTGGCAAACTTGGGAAACCCCCGAATTGCCACGGATTCCTGAAATCAAGCAACAAGGGATGAGCGCCATGCTCTGGCCCATCCAACCAAGGGCCAAACTGTGCCGGAGGCGATGTGACCAAGGAGATAGACGGCGGCATTGCAGTGCGGAAGAGAGGGCGTGGAGAAGATGTGGTGGCGGGGTGCACTTTCGAGGCCTATGGTGGGTTTTATAGGGGCGCATAGGAAGGGGAACGGCCAATGGTGGAGCTCGGTGGCCATTAATGGCGAGCGGCAGTTATGGAGATGGAGTGGGGGAACGGTCGATTAGTCAGGGGTAAATGAAGAGGAGGAGTAGTGGAGCACTACCTCCAGGTCGGGTTAGTGCGCGAGCAAGCGAAGAGGTGCAGGGTGGAGCTCGTCCGCGCCATTAATGGAGGTAGGGGAGAGAGAGGCGTTCGACTAGAGGTGGAAGGAGGTCCTGACAGGCGAACCCCGCCTGTCAGCAACGTGGAGAGAGGGGAGCTCGTGGTGGGCCGGCCGGTTGCATGGAAATGGGCTGTGGCCTGCGAAGAGAAGATGGGGGGACCGTGGGATGGGGCAGGCCGGCCAGAGAAAAAGGCCACAAGAGAGGGAGAAAGGTTTTGATCTTTTTTCTTTTTTAAGACATTTAGAGTTCAAATTCGAATCTTTTGAACCAAACAAGTTTGAAAACTCCTTTTGAAATTTTCAAACTTTGAAACTGACATTTGAATTTTTTTAATTAAAATTTTGAACTAGTTTTTAATAAAACTTTAATACTTTTTTTGAAATGAGCAAAACGTGCTCTCATCTAATTTGATTTAATAAATCATTTTTTACACATTAAAATTAATGCAAAGGCATGAATGCAACAAACATATCAATTTTAAATTTCAAAATTTTGAGAAAATCACATTTTTCACTGTTTAAATTATAACAACATAATTAAATATTGGAAAATTTTAGAAAAATCATGAAGCCATATTTATTTTATTTAGTGTTTTCTAATCACAACCCAAAATCGAATTTCTGGGGTGTGACAGCTTATGTGGTGGCGTTCTGTGTATTTCACTCCGACCAATGGACAGGACTGGTGTTAGTCGGCCTAGTTTGTGGTGGTGGTGTTCACCTTGACGGTGACATGTCCTTGGTGTTCGTATGGGGTATCAATGTACTCTCTGCAGAGGTTTATAATCTATACGTATATCCATGAGCTTGGTCATGATCACTTATGTGTGTGTAGGGCTCATCTATCTAGCTTCTCTTGTGCTTTGCTTCTCTCCCTAGAAGATAGGTCTGGCATGAGGCCATTGAGACAAGAGGGTGCGGAGGCCGCCTCATCACTTAGAATGAGAGAATGAGGGTGATGAGAGGGATGATGAGTGGTGACAAGAGATGTGCAGCGGATGGTGAGAATGAGTGTGTTGGTTGGATTTCAGAAGATATACTATATACTTGTTGCTTTTCCGCATGTGCTAAGTATGCAAACTACAACCAAACTAGTAGGATCACCGGATCCCTTTATTTTTTTATTTTCCAATAAAGCTCATTGTTGCTGACCATGGCCTGCACACATCTAGTGGTGTGCAAATGTCTTAACTTGTAGTTGTGTTGAGAATAGTAGTTGGTCTCATCTGCGCTCATGGATGTCTCTAGATTGGAGATTTCACGAAGCTTCACTACTACGATTAGAATATCAATGTTTTTGTTTCACTTTATCCCAAAGGGCTTTTATCCAAACTATTGTATTAATCTTATTTATGCACTCTAATGTGGTATGGCAATGTAATCAGTTGAAAATTGGATGCCCGTGAAGGCCAAGAAATCTAGGGACTATCATAGAGGGGAAAAGAGTCAATGGTTCATATCAAAATAGATGATGTCTTGAATCAATGGGTCCACCATTTCAATGTCGAAGCTCCATCTTTGACCAAACTTTGTAACCATGCAACACACCAAGATAGGGGCAACTAGGAAGAAGCTGGAGGGGCCTAGGCACCAGGGAGCGAGGGTCAGCTGACCCTACCCTAGGTCACTCGACCCCCCCATATCCACTCTACCGCCTCAGCTTTGGCAGCATGCAAGCAAACACAATCCTAAGTGATCCTAGCCATGCGTGGTGAGACGATTTGATCTGAAGGTGGACACATGTCTTCACATGGATTCATGAGCCCACTTTGCTGCTCCCCCAACACTATAAATAGAGGGGCTCACTTTACTTTATAGCTTAGAGGAGTCTACACTTTAGTATCAAGGAGAAGCTCCACCTCTCTAGTAGTGTTAAAGAATAGTGAGAGAGCAAGGGGGAAGCCGGTGCTAGGTCTGTTGGCACTCTCCCAACTTGTACCTCGGTGGATGTTGTCTCCCTTTGAGTAAGCATTTAGGATTCTTATATGGTCTCTGGTAAGCATTAAGTAAGTATTATCTTCTATTGTTTATGGGTTCATTGCTCAACTTTTTGGGTGCTCTAGTCTACTTTAAGTATTGGATTAGAATAGTGATCTCTAGTGTAAGCGTGGTACTTAGACTATAGGTTGCCTTTGTTTGAGGCTTGCCCCACGAATAGATTGGGATAGGTAGCAGGTGGTGGCTGTCCTCTCTATCCTTTGTGTTCCACCATGTTTAGGTGAGTTATTAAATCGTAGGGCCGCATGTTAGAATAGTTTAGTGCCCTTCACACCCCTTTTCGTTGCTACCTAGGTCAACGTCCCGGAGTAAACAATTGAAGTACATCCTTGCTTGATCTTCTATCATAACCACATAGATCCTCTCTACCCATCTTTTCACCTACCTCTAGCTATAATAGGATGGTCCTATTTAGTCTAGTTCACTCCTATTCCACATGTAATATGATACCTTGGAGTACTGTCGGGTGACAGCTACAACGATATTTGTGTGCTTGAAGATTTATCATTTTGTGTTGGCAAATACCAACATCCATCATTCATTAGACCCAACTCTTCGCATCACACAACATGTATGACTTCTCAAAGACATTATCACAGAGCCTAAGTCCAACTCTACATGTCACACATGATGCATATGACCCTCCGAGCATTCATAATCTCCTCCATCACCATATGACCTAGAGATGTTCAAGGATTCTCAACTAGTGGGGTTTGATACCACTTTGTTAGACTACAAGCTCAATAAAATATCCCAACAAATCTACTAACCTATATAAGAATACGAAAGCATAAATATCATGGAAGAAAATACACAAACAAAAACAATATTGAGGCACAATGCTTTTAAAACAAGTTCGACCATTTTCCTGCATCCACGAGATATAACTATGGGAGCTTGTCCACATAAACAACAATTACACTGGTATCTGAGTGCTCTTGTGGCCTTATCACCACCAAATCTATCACTAAGTCATCTCTTGGTTACAACGGGGTTGGCATTTTCCATTAAAAAACATGGTTGGGCTCATATTTATGTCCCCAGGATATAGAGTCCAACTCAAAATCTATCCTAACCCCTAATTCAACTCAAATCCGATTGTAACCAAATCATAAACATATATATCAATAAGGATCTTGCACATATAGAAAACTATTTCTACCATTCCATTAAAAATATTATTTGTGCTTCCCTTGGCAATAAAAGATAAAAATCATGAAAATACATAACAATGTCCAAAATTTATCATGCAGGGAACATATATGGTATTTTGCACAACAAGAAATTGAACACTTAATTTGTTACCACACATGTATATAAATAGATGAAGATCTTCTAAAGCGAAAGTAAAATATCTAAATATCACCTTTAGCTTCACAAGGCTCATTTAAATATTTAAGGTTTACCTAACATATTGATGCAAATAACAATAGTTTTATTGGCTTTGTGTATTTGAAGCTTTATTCATTAGATGGATATAAATAAATAGACAACATATAGATAGATAGACAAGGCAAGGAAACATACAAAGTTTATGATAGATTATAATCCTAGAAATAGTAAGATAAAGTAACCAACAACTTTGGTTTACAATATAGCACTTAATGCAGTAGAAACAACATAGTAGCACCAGCTAGAACTATAGAGTGATTTCTTCATCCAAAATGTTTAGGACAATTGAAGCAGCATTCTTGGTGAATCCACTGCAAGAATCATCACCACAATCATGAGAAGGGATGTCAATGTCGACCCCAAATAGCCGCAAACGCTTTTCTACCCTTACGATTTCAAGTGATGTCGATTCAGGAAATGTTGTTTGTTGTGGCATCAGATTAGTTGGAGGCATCAACTCCCTAGATCCAAAGGATAAAGGCTTTGATGCTGGAACAATTACATGGCTTGTACCAAAGCCAAGGCTCTCATGGACCCAATCATCAATCATCAAGCTAGATGGAGAGAAGATCGGACATGGCACATGATGTGTCAAAGACATGGTACCAGTATGGGGCTTGATATGAATAAACATGTGGTTTGTGCTTGTAGTCTTACCAGCACCATGGTAGAAGGATAAAACATCACCTTTCTTGAGATTCTTCTCCTTGATAAAGGCGTGCTAGCCCTTGGTCAGGACATAGGTCTTGCTATTGTTCCAAAGGCAAAAGCGGAAGCGCCAGATTAACCCTGTGGAGAAGTCCTCAAAATTGAGGAAATCATCATCATCTTCACCACTCTTGGCCTCTAAAATCTTGGGAAAGCACTCCTTTGCGCATTGCCTTGGGATCTATAGACGATTCAGCTTGCCAACATCACTTGGAGTTAGAATCTTGCTGAACAAGTACTCCACATCAACGACCTTCCAGCCCCTTTTTCTTCCCCCACATAAATCTAATGCTCCATGACCATTGCTCATGCTAGATTGGAAAACTAGTGCAAACTTGGATGACCAGGAAGAGACATACTGAGGGGGGCAAAAGGGGGTTTACCATCAAGAAGGTATTCAAACATGGTGGGGCCTTCCCCATCTGCACCTCCATATCCCTTGAAATCATTCTTGCCGACAAAGCCATAGATCTAGAATAGAGGTGCTGTGTAGAAAGAATTGGTGAGGTAGGGGGAGGGGATGTGGGGGGATTGATGGAATTAAGTAGTAGCCAGATTATACTTCTTTATATGCCTATTTATTGTGCTTATTAATTTTTCTTTTGGCAGCATACGAGAAAGTGGCTTTGGTGATTTGGTAGCATTGTGGAATCCTCGACCCTCCCATGAGAAGAGTAGGGTGCCATTTTGAGAGCTTGTCATATTTGCATGCATTAATGAGTCCTTATCTTTTTATACTATATATTTTCACTATGTTTTTATTATCTAAAAACAAGAAGTGCAATTCCCTCAGTGGTGAACAAAGAATACACTATTCAACAATTGTCATGGGTTTGTAACCACAGCAAGCATCGTGTTGTTCGCCAAGGGTAGATGTGTGGACCTCTGGTGGCTTAAGCACTCAAAATACTTAGGGACACGAGCGATTTATCCTGTTTTGGGCTTCTATGCCCTACGTCCAGTAATATGGTGTTCTTCGTGTTATGGATGCTCAAACTAGAGTTCTTACAATGGAGTAATCGAGAGAGTGGAGGGGATAGTGCGGTGCTATTCTAGAGTTCTTGGTGAGATCATCCGATCAACTAGTCTCGGTCCGATCTTCCCCTTCTACGGGAGCCCATGCCTCCCCTTTTATACTAGGAAGGCGATGGGAGTACAAATCGGAGGGTTTCATCTAGGGTTTATGGCTCTTATGCTTCTGGTTCATTTGTCTTGGTGTCGTTGCATACTTGTTTATCTTGTAGCTAGGGGCCAACAAAACCTCAACCATTCCATGACACCTCTCTTGTAGCCTAGTGTTGACTTCTAGGTGCTGTCTGCTGCTATGGTGCCTTCCCCAGGTGAACCTTCTCTTGGTTTCTTTAACATACTAGGCTCTTCCGACTAGATGGGTCACCAGGTGGGCTCGGAGCCCCCTCATTGTGGGCTTCAGGAGTTCCTTGACCTAACACATCATGCCCTAGGCGTGACCCTACTTAAGGAGTGGCCAGCAGCCCCTCGCAGTTGTGGAATAGGATGGCGGTGTAGTGCTTTCTGTGTTTGTTAGGCTTTGAGCACCTAATAGATTTTGGAGATGGCTTCTGGTGTTGGCTCGAGAGGATTGTTTACCCTGAGCTTAGGTTGGGATGGCCATGGGGGCGGTGGCTTGGACGAGGCTCCCCTTAGGCTAGGAATCCTTATGTCCTTGTTGAGCCCTTGAGGCCTGAGCAATGGCGACTTTGCCTCCTTAGGCTCACCCTTCTAATACCAAAGACTCCCTTGGGGAGGGCCATCTATGGGCCACAGAGCCATCTTGTTTCTTCTAGAGGGTGCGCGTGAGTGCACACGATGTTTATAGCCCCCAAGTCCCTAGCTGATTCTAAGAGTTAGCCAGGGGTTAGTTGGACTATTGCATTCTTAACCTAGGGACTTAACATACCCATATGTTAGACTCTCATCAATGACTATGTGACACCTTGGCTAGAGCTTTTGGAAGACAAGGAGTTGGGATTCAAGAGGATGCTAATGCTTACAACCGAGAGTTGGCGGACTTAGAAGAGCTTGTTAATCCAAAATTATGTGGTAGAGGGGAAGAGGATCTTTGGTGAGCACCCACATATCAAGGAGAAAAACTATGAAGATTTTGTGAACCTAATGTCTACAGGCAAATTCAAAGAATAGAGTGAAAAGTACAAGAAGCTTTGGGGAAGAATGTGCATGACAACCATTTAGGCACAACTAGGTATGAGAGGAAATCAGATAATGGCAAGCACAATATGCATATTTGGCAAAGTAAGGGCATCCCGAATCCATGGGACCAATTCTTTGATGGGCGATACACATGGTGGCTACAAGGGAGAAGTAATCTGAAGACCTTAGAAAATTTTGCTCAAATCAAGTGGAAGAAAGATGCAACCGAACAAGTGTCAAAAGCCATAATTGAGAAGCAAACAAGTGCATAATCTTCAGGTCTCACTTGGGTCTAGGAGAAAGATATGCCAACTACAAGCTTGGGCCTAGAACACTTGGTTTGCATGCATCGTGTGTTTAGTCACATGGGTTGGAAACACACATGGCCTTAGTTGGGGGGAATGTCTAGGAAGAGAAAAGAGCAGACTGAGGTGGATATTGAAGCAATAAGGGTTGAAATCACACGAGATCTGAAGGAAGAATTCACACAACATGTGACTGCTAAAGTGACTAGTCATTTATTGACCATGTTAGTAACCCATGGAGTCAATCCGATACCCTTAGAACCTCTAGTGAGCCCCACTTTCAGATAGAGGTGCCTTCATGACTATAGTAGTGGCAATGAGATCATAACTGAACCCATAGAATGTGCTCTTTTAGCCAACCATGGACGTCACCAAGTTGAGGTTGCAAGGGGTCAAGTGTATCATATCATCAACAAACCACACTGCATTGTACCTCGGTTCTTGATGACCACACAGTTGTAATGACCCAAAGTTGTTCCAACTAAAAACGTTCAACAAGGGATTCATGAACGCCTTATCATCCTCCTGTGAAGATCCCTAGTGCTTTATACAAGGACAAGGATTCCAAGCTCATCAACCAACTTATCCAATCCCCTCTTAGGTATCAAGTCAACCGAGGTCAAATTAATGTTCCTAATCTCCCCATAAATGGTTATCTATCTCTTGAACATCAAGATTGGTCCCAATGCCAAAAATCCCAAATTTTAAATCAATTCTCAGAGTCAAAGAGCTGACAGAGCATCCATCGTACCCCGTGGACTATTCGCCAGATCACTGAACAACAACAGTGAGTGGGAAATGAGTTGTCCTCCACTCTCTAGTGAGACCCATATGTCATGAGGACTAAAAGCATCTAGGCGCCTAGTAGGTTTCTATGATTAATGACCACATGATTATTGTGACTAACATGTATTTTGCAGAGGCAATTTGAGTTAGGTCACGATAATGGTGATTGTTTTGGCAATCAATGGTTTTCATGCCCCTATCGATGGGAATGGTATTGGTTTTCAAAGGATGGACGACAAGGTTAAGGATAGACTAGTTCTAAGTGTCGCTTGGCGTTGAGAGACACTTAAAGTAGTTTAGGACTTTGTTTTTCGTTTAGCCATATTATGAAGGGGGTATGAACTAGTAGCTTGACCTAGGCGAGTCTAATGTGTTATGGTGTGGTGTACACTTGTCAAACTTAGCACTATGTAGCTCAGAGTTAGCCCAAAGATCTTTGAAGTCAACCTCATTCATAAAGGAATTCAAATTGGAAGTGAATGGAGTGTTGAATGTTGCATCGAACACTGATAACTGGCTGCATACATCGAACGCTAGGGCATAGAGTCCAATGCGACTTAGGGCTATGCAACAAGGATTTGAAACTCATCAGACGCTGGTGCAGGAGTCGTCTGAACGCGACGCTGACACTGTGGTTGTTTGGATTCAGCTGTCATGCTGCATCAGACGCTAAGCCATGCTGCATCGGACTCTAGTGCACTGACATCCAATGTTGAATAGAGAGGTTCCAGAGACCTCATTTTTGCATAGGTTGCATCTGATGTAGTTGCATCTGACGCTAGTTGTTCTTCTAGAACAGTAACGGCTATGTCTAACAGCTGACGTCATCTAGCCATTGGTATGTGATCGGACACATCTGATGCTTGTTCTGCAGCGCCTGATGGCCACATTTTCTGTAGGACTTGGTTCAAACGGCTAATGGGTTGAGTGGGGGGTATTTATACTTCTCCAACTCACCCAATTTAGCTCTCTTGCTTATTTGTTCAGCTAAGGCATCCATTTGGAGTTCAAGGGAGAGCAAGTGCCTAGTGGGGTGATTAAGATTTGGTAATCCAAGATTAAAGATCTCATTAGTGCATAGGGAGTAGCAAGTGTGCATCTACCTTTCTCATTAGGCTTGTCATGGTAAAGTGAGAGTTTGTGCTTGTTACTATTAGTGATCGGCATCACCTAGATGACTTGGTGGTGATTGTGAGTTTGGTGATCATCCGGTGGAGCTTGTGGATGACCTAACTCATCTTGTGAGCGGTTGTGGGTGATTCACCATGTCAGAGTGACAAAGAATTAGCCCGTAGAGAGCATTCGGTCCTTGTGCGGATTGAGGGGGAGCTACACCCTTGCGCGGGTGCTCCAACAAGGACTAGTAGGGAGTGCCGACTCTCTGATACCTCAAAAAAACATCGTCGTGTTCCTATCCCTCTCTTTACTTTGAACATTTACTTTTGAGCAATTCAATTCATGTCTTTTGATTCTTATAATTGATATGCTAGAACAGGATTGGAACCTAGGGTGCAAAACTTTTGTGCAGTAGAACAAATAGAGAACACTATTAGGCACAAGGGGTGAAATGGGCTAAGCGGTAGGACTTAATTGTTGTGAGAAAGTTTAGATTAGCCCAACTCATCCCCTCTTGGGCATCTTGATCCTTTCAAGCATGAAATGGATG